ACTCTCTGGGGAACACGCTAGCATTCCTCAGTCACACACCACCGTTCCTCTGTATAAAGTCCAGTATACCTAACAAACAAAAAAAGGTATGTAACACGTGAAGAAGCAAAATGAAAAGGGGGACCTACGGTCATACTTTAGAAATCAGCAAAAAAATAACCTACAGATGATCCAGTATTAGAACTAACAGGTAGAGACTTTATAATAACTGTCGTGCTCAAGGATTTACAGGAAAATTAAAGAATGGTTGAATAAGGAATCTCAGAAGAGAAATGGGAATTACAAAAACAAATAGAAAGTCAGTCTGTATCTGAAGTTTAAATCTAATATCCAAAATAAAAAACGATTAGACAGGTTAAACAGCAGAGTGAATACTACAGAAGAACAGTGAACTTGAAGATATGTCAATAGAAATTACCTAAAATGAAGCTCCGAGAGACTGAAAAAAAATTGGACGGAACATCAGTGACCTGTGCAACAGTATCAGGCAATTCAGCATAATGCAATCAGAGTCCCAAAAGGAGAGGAGACAGAATTGGTGAGAAAAAAATTTTTTGAAGAGACAATGGCCAGGCTTTTTCAAATTTGTTGAAGAACAGGAATCCACAAATCCAAGACACTCTGTGAACCTCAGAAAACCACCCCTGGACACAACCTGGTTAAGCTTCTGAAAACCAAATACAAAAAGAAAACTTTTAAAGCAGCTGAAGAAAGAATATTGATGACATAAAGAGAAACAATGTATTGTGCAGTTAATAACAAGGTATTAAATATGTGACAACCGTGGCAAAAAGGCAAAAAGAACATCTTTGCTACCTTGGAGTAAATCAGTGCTTCTCAACCGGTATCGATTTTGCCCCCCGGGGGAATTTCACAATCACAACATCTGGAGACACGTTCCCCGGGGGAATTTCACAATCACAACGTCTGGAGACACGTTTGATCCTCATGAGTGAGGGACGCTACTGGCATCTCGTGGGTAGAGGCTACACATCCTACAGCCCTCCAAAACAAAGAATTATGTGGCCCAAAATGTCAATAATGCCACTGTGAAGAAACCATTAGGAAGACAAAGATTTCTTAGAACACAAAAAAGCACTAACCATAAAAGAAGAAATTGAAAAATGGGATTTCATTAAAATTACAAACTTATGCTCATCAAAAGACTTTGTTATGAAAATGAAAAGGCAAGGTATAGACTGGGAGAAAATATTTACAATACATAAATTAAAGGACTTCTGTGCAGAATATGTAAAGAACTCCTATGACTCAAAAATAAAAAGACACCTCAATTTTAAAATAAGCAAAATACTTGGACAGCTACTTTACAAAAGGGGCTATGCAGATGGCCAATAAGCACATGAAAACTTGCTCAGCATTGTTAGTCATCAGAGAAATGCAGATTAAAACCATGAGATACTATGTCATACCTGTAGAATTACTGAAATTTAAGAACCAACAAGACCAAATGTGGAAAAGATCTAGAGTGACTAGATCTCTTAATGCGTTGCTGGCTGGTGGGAAGGTAAATGGTGCGGCCACTTTGGAAGACCATTTGGCAAATTCTCAATAAGTTAAATATACACTAATTTTAGGGTTTAGCAATTCTAGTCCTAGGTATTCACCCAAAAGAAATGAAAATATATACTCACAGACAGACTTCTATCAGAATGTTCATAGCAGCTTTGTTGATGATAGCCCACACCTGGAAACAGTCCAGATGTTCATCGGCAGGGGAATAGTAGACCCTGGCATCCTCACACAGTGGAATACTATTCAGCAATAAGAAGGGAAGGACGGCTAATGGCATGCAACCATAGGGGTGGCTCTCAAGAGCATATGTTGTGTGTAGCGAGGTCATTTAGGCAAGAAATGAAATAAAGGCATCCAGATTGGCAAGGAGGAAGTAAAACTATGCATCTGCAGGTAACATGATCATGTATATAGAAATCCCAAAGGAATCCACTACAGAACTAGAACTAATGAATGGGACCAGCAAGTTTGCAGGATGCAAGATCAATATATAAAAATTAATTGTATTTCTGTACATTTTCAACAAACCATCTGAAAATGAAATTAAGAAAACAGTTCATTTTCAGTATCATGAAAAGGAGTAAAATACTTAGAAATACATTTAACAGAAGTGCAAAACGTGTGCTCTGAATACAATGAAACATTGTTTAAAGAAATTAAAGGTGATCTAAATAAGTGGAAGGACATGCTGTGTTTATGGATCAGAAGATTTAATGTTGTTAAAATGGCAGTAGGGAACCAGGACTGTGAAAATTAATTTAACATTCATGCCGGGATTCAGTAATGAGTAAGACAGACAAAAGTAGTTAGCTATGTCCATAGAGCTTACATTTGGCGGGGTGGGGAGGGGTGTCAGTCTTTATTAAAACAGTTTCATTTCAAATAGTTAATTTAAGTACTATGAAGACAGTAAAGCAGGATGATGTGGCAGTAATCAGGGAAGCTGATTTAGGTTCGATAGTCAGGAAATGCCTTTCTGAAGAAGTCTCATAAATGTCTGTTTTTACGTTTGTTTCTTTGAATCAGGATCAAGTCAGCCTCACTCACTGAGATCGGCTGGTAGTTCTCTGCAGCCTCTGTATCTATAAATTGCCCTCCCAGGACCGCCTCTCTTTTATTTCCCCTCATAGTACAGTTGATGAACAAAGCAGATCGTTGGTCCTTTGGAGATCCCTGCAGTGTAGCACCCTGTTACTTCCTGTGAAATGGTGCTTGGGTCTGGAGGCTGGACAAGATTCACAGGGTTTTTGGCAACTTTATTAGGCTGGATCTTGAACACTAGCTCTCTATTCAATGATATAAAGGAATTAATTTTTTAGACACGATAATGTTATTATGGTTATGGTTCATGTTTTAGAGCTTTATGCTGGAAGATCCGTGGATGAAATGGTGAGATGTCTGGGATTTACTTCATACTAATAAAGGCTGAGGGGAAGAAAATGGGGCTCTAGGTAACACTCAACTGGCTGGGAGTTAGCGGGTGAAACTGGGTGATGGGTACATGGGTTCATTATGCTCCTCCATCTATACTTTTGAGATTTTCCATAATTTAAAGTTTTAAAAACGATTGTTATTTATTGTAGTTAAAATGAATGGAATACTCTAACCCGCTTCTGAGGATGCAATAACTGTCGATTCACATTCACTTCAGTGAAGTGCTACCCGTTTCTATTCATTTCTGCAGATATCCATTACTTTTCAAATGATGTTTTTAAAAATGAGTTGAGCCATCTGAAATTGCTGCGTTCGGTGGGGTTTTTGTTTTGGTTTTTTCCTTGTAGGGCAAAAATGTCCGTATATTGGCAGTTTCCTATGTTTCAGCCTGATGCGTGGAAGTCAGCCAAGAAACCTGATATTTTCTGTTTTCCACGTGCACGCGTAGTTGTCACATCTTCGTTCCTTTGAAAGTCAGTTTACTAGTTATCAAAGCCTGTGCTCTTATGGTTGGATTTCATTCCAAGTTTTAAAAAGCTGTTACTCATCATTAAATGGTTGTAGCAAACAGTTACTGTTGTTTTTAAAGAAGTTTAAAGAGGGGAAAAAAAAAGGAGAGAGACAGGCAAGTGCATTAAGTATGTTGCCCTCAGGTAAAAATTAGCTTGTCGTGTCCAAGGCACAAAAGACTGGTGTGACTGTACCAAGTGGGGGGGGGGGGGGTGATAGAAGACGATGCCAAGAGATGGATGGGGCCAAGTCATGTGTATCTTTCAGAACTTGTAAGCAGGAGTGAAATGTTTTGACTGCCATTTTCAAGGATCTAGCTGCTGTGTGAACACAGATTGTAGGGGAAGCAGAACGTCAATAAAGTTGTCATATGGTCCAGGCAGAAAGTCACGGCACGGGGGCTCAGAGCAGGGATGTGCTGGGGCATGTTTCAGGGGCAGGCTGCTAGAGGTTTGACTGTTGTGGGGATTAAATAGTTATTTGTAAAGTGCGTAGAAAAGTGCCTAGCACAGAGAAAGTGCTCGGTCATTGGTTCATTATCGTCATTGTCAAAATACTGAACAGCAACCATTTTTTGAGCGTGTAAATTACATTTTAGGCACTTTTCTGAAGGGCACTACCTTCCTAGCTCATTTATTGATATTTCACTCACTGTTTTGAGGTGGGTGGTTTATTTTGCCAGAAAGAAGAGGGACTTGTACACTTCTCTGGTTCCCCCCCCTCCCCTTTGAAGGGACTCCTGTAAGGTTCCTGTGCACAGCGACCCATTTCTAATGGCCCATCGTATTCTACGTTATCAGCCAGGGAGAGATCATACTTAACTAATCATTAATTGTCCCTCAAATCTAGCCCTGGTCTCCCTTAAAGAACCAGTTTCTAAACAAAAATACAGTGTGTGGTGCCTGATACAGCTTTGTGTCAGCACGTGCTCACCATCCTCTGAGCATAAGATTTGCAAACTTGGACAGAATTCAGCTGTGGTCATCGTTTCAACAGTGGAGCTAATTTAAGCTCATTTCTGCAGTACTGGGGAAGTCATTACGAAATAAAAGCGCGCAAATTGGGAGAAAAGACAGTGTGAATCCCTTATCGTCGGTTGCTGATGAGGTCAGCCAAACACTAGAGGAATTAAAATAATTGGTGCTCATCATAACCTAGACATGTTTTTAAACTTTCGCATTTGGGGGCGCTTTTGAGGGTTTGGTTTTCCTGCCCCTGGCGTCATGTCCAGCAGAGACTGCAGGCAGCAGGGCAGATGAACTGTTAAGACTCCCACCTACCATAAATGATGTTTTCAGAGAACTGTGCACATAGAAGAACTTGAGAACTTGTGATTGTAGAGAGTGTTCCTGTGCAGAGCTCAGCTTCCTTTGTGGGTGTTAGAGCATCTGCACCAGAACTAATCAGCGTTCTCTTGCTTCTCCCACTTGCACAGCTGTGAGTGCCTCCTCTCCGTGGATGTGGCCTGCCATTTTACCGTGACTTCTCATCTTATCGTGCTTCCTGTCCCTTTTGTTTTTTAGCAGTCGTCCTCTTCCAGTGGCAGCGTGTTTGGGTCTGGAAACACTGGAAGAGGGGGAGGTTTCTTCAGTGGCCTTGGAGGGAAACCCAGCCAAGACGCAGCCAACAAAAACCCATTCAGCTCGGCCAGCGGGGGCTTTGGATCTGCAGCCACCCCAAGTAAGTTAAGCAAGTTTTCCCAGTCTCTTGGTCCCCTGACGTCATCGTCATCCTCGTGGTGTTATCAAAGCTTCAGTGACAAGTGTAGAAAGGAAAGAAAAGGTCTAGAAGGCCCATTTAAAATATCTACCCCGAAGCAGTGTGATCTGTTTTGATTTTGGTTTTATTTTTGGTTTTCTAGTGAGATGTCCTGTATAATCATGGAGAGACTCAGAGCTGCAGGGGGAGAGGATCTGTGCATTGGGCTACTCCCCTCTTCTCTCCCAAGGCCCAAATTGCTCTGTTTCTTAGGATTGAAATGACTTGAAATGAATGCAAGCAGACAGGCGTAAAAGAGCAGCAGAACCAGCTGGGTGTGCTTGGAGGAGCATCTGGATTTTCATTTGTGTTGGACTCTCTTTGAATTTGCTTTAAAATTCAGCTACTGGAGAGAAATGTCACACAAAAGTTGAAGCCGTCATTATTTCTCATCTCTTACGTTTTCGTCTTGTTTTCAAATGAAGCTGTATCTTTCTGCCGGCACTTTTCTTCTCCAGCTGATTCCTTGTTGATGTCTGTTCATGGTTGGAAATGAAAGAAATGTGTTTGTTTAAATCTTCTAAAAAAATATATCCTGCTGCCAGTGGAGACTGAGATGGGAAGTCGGGCACCTGTCACCTTCATCTTAGCTTCTCTTGTTTAATACGCTCTGCCAGAAGCTTCTCTCTTCCGTTGTGCTATACGCGATCTTAATGCGAGAGCTCGTGTTCCATAGACAGAACAGATGTTTCCTTGATATTAAGGCTCATGTAGTTAAAAAGCAAAACTCTTTGCTGAGACTCCTGGAGTCACAGATCAGTTATTTTGATGTCACTGTTCATCTAGTAATATATAAGGAGAGATTATAGTGAAGACACACATAGCTTTAAACTTGTGAAATTATATAATCAGAAGTTTGTGTTCTGCTAGGAGGAATTTAGAACCCTTGAATGAAGGGATCTTAGAAGTCAAGTCCAGTAACAGTTTTCAGAAGCCGTTTCTGCAGATGAACTCTTACGCAGAATCCTGATACATAGAACAGAGAAAAACAGGGTATTCAGAAGCAGGGGCCAAGAACCAGCAATACTCCTGGGTGGTTTCCCCATCTTTTTCCCAGCTATCAGCACACAACTGCAGGGCTCCATGGCACGTACTTTGAAAACATGATCCTCGGGTGTCAGTCTCCCTTTTCCAATCAAGAAACAAGCCCAGAACGGTTAGGTGATTTTTAGTTACAAAGCCAGAAAGTGGCAGACCTAGAACTCAGCTAGATCGTGCATAAGGTGCCAAACACAGCGTCTGGCACAGAACAGGCATTTGATAAAACATGCTAGTGAGAAATGTGGGTTTGTCCCATGGGCAGATTATTGTCTGCAAGATTGTGTTACTAGCCTATTTTGTTAAAACGTGGGTGTGTCATATCTTTGTAAAAAATCCTTTCCTCCTGTCAGATTAACCTTTAATGCCGTGGCTCTTACCTGGCAGAAAACGGCCTTCTCTCAGTGCTGGGCTGGAGCTGGCCTGTACCGGCTCAGGAGAGCCAGCTTGCACGTTTCTCCCCAGCTCCCTGTTCAGTGACATCAGGGAGTAGTTATGTACACCATAGTAACTGGACAGTGCTACAGATCGGGGACAGACGCCCCCTGCCCAGCCCCGACCTGTTGTTCGTAGGCACACCATTGTTTCTAATTCTTTAATTCTGGTTTAAAATAAACATATATCTGTTCTTGATACCAGACACCTGCAGGTCTTCATCTCCTAAACGTCAGCTGTTGTAAACCAGCAGTTTACTTTCACATTTAAGGGAAGTTTAAGTGAATTTGAATGTATGCAGGAAAGATTTAGCATTATTTTGGTTTTTAAAACTGCGTAATTTGCTAGTGAAACGGACAAGAGCTTCTGTAGCCCTGAGGACCAAGTGCAGGATGAGAGGAAGGAACAGTGGAGAAGGAGCTGGAAGGCCCCTGGGGAGGACACTGGCCTCGCCACAGAACTGAGAACGCTTTCTGCAGGTCACAGGGGCGGCCTCTTTCTCCTCGGGCGACCGTGCGGCGTGTGATCCTCTGAGCAGCACAGTTTCCTGCCCTGTGTGGATGGGCTCCCGGCTCTTTTCCTGCCTGCCAAACACTTCCTTCCCTGCTCTTTCCCTCTCCTTTTTCCCTGTCATCGTGGGGTGTGTCCCCATTGTCATCCAGGTTATCACAGGAGTCTCCAGACTCCCCTGTCTGCCTGCTGTCTCCTACACTGTGGTCTGGAAACCTGTACCAAATTGAATGTCTTAAAACTCTTTTATTTTGCCACTCTCCCTACTCAGAACCCTTCGGCAATGTCCCACTAACTATAGAAGCAAGTCAAGACCAACTCCTTGGGCTATAATGCAGGGCCCTCCATGAGCCCTGACACACTTTTCTGACTTTGAATTCCTTCGCCTGCGCACGCGCTCACACACACACACCCTCACTTCTCCCTGCTTCAGTGCCAGGGTTCACACTGCTTCCCACACGCCGCTCCTCTGAACCTGCCGTTCCTTTCAGCATGAATGTACGTCTTCCTCTGCAGCGTGGCCGAAAGGTCACGAGGATGCACAGTGATCTCTCCCTCTCTGGAATCCTGCAGCCCTTATGCTCTGTTCTTTCACGAGCCATCAGCAGAAGGGAACTCATCTTTACTGATCACCTGCTGTGCGCCAGTTGTTCAGTGTGTGCGGTCTAATCACCTCTCACAACAGTATTTTCAGATGTGGCCGTCCCCATTTTACCAATAAGGAAGTAGGTTCAGAGTGGGAATGTTGACTTCCAGTGGTAACAGCCATTAAGTGGCATAAGGAGGGTTTCATCCTGGCATGTGTGCAGAGCTCTGATCCACTGTGTTGCCTGCTGAGATCGTCTGGCCTCGCCATGGAATGGAACACCTCCCCATGCGCCTTGTCTGACAGCCCTTGTGATCACTCCGCATGGCATCGAACATGCTCCCCTGCAGATAGATATCTGAGCACAGATTGGGCGGCCAGCAGTTCCCTTGGTGACATTTAGGCCCCAGGCTGCCTGGTCCTGGAGCTGCCCTCTTTAGGCCTGAGGAGTAATTGGAACTATGCATTGATCGAGAAAGACAAGCTAGGAACATTGGTGCTTGGAGCTGGCGTGTTCTATATCCGGAAGCTCACACTAGAAAGGTTTCTTCTCTCTCTCTTCCCCGAGACTCTACCATAGATACGGTTAACCCCTGGGGGTCCTGTGAATTGCTACCTGTAAGGCCCTATTGCCTCCTTGAGTCTTGTCCTAAAGACACTGGTGAGAACAGTTCTCAGCACATTCTTTCTGCACAGGGGCTTGAAAGACATGTTTGTGTGAGGATGAAGGAGTCATTTGATGAGAATCCTTTGGTCCCACAAGGCTCCTTCTACTACTGTTCTTTAAGAGAATGTCTTGGGAAGGTATCCTGGACGAGGGCTTCTGAGAACTGCCTTCTCAGTGTGTGTTGAATTCTCGTCTAGTGACTTTAGACCTGCAGAATGACGTGGGACCTGGTCTCTGTGATGTTATTTATATCAAGTATCATTTAATTTAAGTTGGGTCAGACCCTGTTGTTGGATTTTGCTAGTGTTTTTGCCAAATAAAAGACCATGGAGGATCCACGTTGCACCAGTGGGGGGAAGCCCAAAGCGGATGCCAGTGTGACCCATTCTTGGAACCCCCAGTGGAGGTCATCCGGTGGCTCTGCAGAGACAGGCTTTCTTACTGGCTAGTTCACAAGTGAAGAAGTCTCTTCCACAGTGAAATGTTGTTCCAACAGCCAACACACCACATTCTCAAGAGCCAGAGACTGTTATTTTGGAGCCACTAGGAGAAAACTGAGAAGCACATTGTTGGCCATAGAGACAGAGAGAAGCAGACATCCCATCGTTTAATGCTACTTTGTTTCAGAGCAGCTTAAATAAATCCTAAAATGTTTCAACATGCAGAGCTCCTTTGGAGACTACAAATGACAGCTGTTACAACTTGAATGGCTTGATTCTAGTGATCTTTGCAAAATGAAAAGGGTTTAACTTTCTGCAGCTGACCTGCTCTGTTTTATTGTATTAAACTTGATTGGGATAGGAAACATGATTGGCAGGAGAAAAGTTAAACAGAGAGGGAAGTCCTGTTTTCTAGGACTACCTTATGCCTGACTAGGGGCTTTCCATACATTAATTCATTCAGTCTTCCCAGCAGCCTTGCCTGGGCACAGTGGCTGTCCCATTATATGTATGAGGAAACTGGGACTCGGGAAGATTAAGTCCTTGCCCCACAGTTATTAGGTTTTCGAAGCCAGGGCTGACTGCACAGCTCATTTATTCCACTGTCATATCTGTGAACATCTTAAAGACAAAGGAGTCTTAAAGAGATAAAGGGATAAAGAAGCCCGAAGACTTCTAAATGTTCTCTGACTTCTCTAGAATTTGTCTTCCAGCACTGTCCCAGTAAAATCATTTCATCTCTGTATTTCTGATTTCTCCAAGAGGAGATCTAGCCTCTAATCTTGTACTTGAATTTGTTTGCTATTTGGAATTTTTGCCTTGGTAGCGCTAACAAAGTCAGAAAATTGCAGTCCTCTGTTCTTGAAATACCAAATAAAAGGAATGGCTGAGAAGCCTGGTTTTGTACTGCCATTGGAGGAATCTGATGTAACCTTCAGCCGGCTCACTAAGGGAAGGATCAGACTGCTCCAGAGGGCATTTTGCAGACTCTACCGGAGGGTATATAGTCCCGTGCGACCGTATGTGAAGGTGGTGAAAAGGAATCCGTTATCCACTCCTGCTCTCAGTGCCTGACCTACTCACAGCCAAGCTCCCACACTGTCAGCAGTAGCTTTACAGAGCAGGTGAGCCTGCGGTGGTCCGAGGCTCTGTGTTATTGGTGCCTACAGACATTTGAGGTGGTTGTGTCCCTGAGGTGAGGCTCCTCACTTCTTGGCCTGCAGGTCAAGAGCACTGCAAGCGGAAGTAGTAACGGAGTTGCATCTCACACTGGGGTGGGATTGGCAGCAGAGCGAGATGAGAGACCCTGGCGCTGACGGGCTAGTGGTAGACCACCTCTGCAGACGGCCCGACTTGCAGAGTTATTCGCCCTCCACTCTTTTCCTTTCCGTCACCTTCTCCGTGAGCGCCTGACAGGCTTGGGGGAAGACTGGCCTGTGCAGGTGCTTGTAGGCCTCGCTTGGTGACATGGAGTCAATGCCCCGTTGCCACCCGGAGCACGTCATTTCAGCCTCCTGTCCATGCCTGTGGCTTTGGGCAGTGATCCCATTTCAGCAGAGCTTCTTGCTGCCTTACTGTGGGTGCAAACTCATTTTAATGAAACACGCATCCAAACATGGTGGGGAAATGTGAGTTATCCCTCCCCTCTCCCCCCGGAAAAGAGTTAAAGAAAAATTCCTGTTACTTAGTGTGCTGTTTGTACTCTCTCCAAGCACTTCTGTGTATTTGACTTTGGCTGTTTATACGTTGCCTGTCAGATTCACATTTCTTGTAACAAAATACTTCTCACCCATCTTGGTTTTTAGTAGTTCACTTCCTTATTTTTTTTTTAATTAATTAATTTATGTGGCTCCAGTGGGGTTTAGTTGCGGCACGCGGGATCTTCGTTGCAGCATGTGGGGTCTTTTGTTGTGGCACGCGGGCTTCTCTCTAGTTGCAGTGCACGGGCTCAGTAGTTGCAGCACACAGGCTCTCTAGTTATGGCTCGCAGGCTCTAGAGTGTGCGGGCTTGGTAGTTGGCAGCGCACGGGCTTAGTTGCCCCGCGACGTGTGGGATCTTAGTTCCCCGACCAGGGATCGAACCTGTGTCCCCTGCATTCGAAGGCGGATTCTTAACCACTGGACCACCAGGAAAGTCCCTCATTTCCGTTTTTCCTTTAAGTCTTGGAGCCGGTTCAGTGTGTAGCTGCAGGAGCGACCCACTGGATAAGCCTCTGAAAGGTCAAGGGCTTAACTGAACCTCTTAGAAAGAGGAAATCAGACTGGAAGTCTTGCTGGCCCCTTACATTCTTCAGAGCATGCCTAGCTCCTATCAGATCAGAGGTAGGAGCAGCAGGGTTTTTCCTGTTTCGTCTGCCGTTCTCTGCACAGATCAAGCAGTGGCAAGCATGCCCAGCTAGACGGTAAAAGCAGAACGCTGGAAGCCACCGCGCTCGGTTTGGATTCGCTCTTTGTTTTCTCTAGTTTGACAGAATTTGAAGTTGGTCTTCATACGAGGAGATCCATGAAAACCAGCCCTGTTCTTCAGAAGCAAATGGTCTCGTGTGCAGCTGCGGGGTTGGTCCTGTGTTGGACATACCTGTGATACCTGTGGGCACGCAGGTACCTTTCTGCAGAAGAGCCTCTTCACTGGGACCTGTTGCGGCCCCGTTGTTTTGTGCCTGTAGAATCACGACAGGAAGTCCTGAGCCTGAGCACCGGAATGATTAAAGACTTGTCATCGAGATGCATGCAGGGCTTCCCTGGTGGCGCAGTGGCTGAGAGTCCGCCTGCCGATGCGGGGGACGCGGGTTCGTGCCCTGGTCCGGGAAGATCCCACATGCCGCGGAGCACACAAGGTCGTCTCAGCGACCTTGGATCCTCGACTTCTCTATCATTCCCTTCTCCGCAGACACCTAGTGAGGTTCCTTCCTTCTCTGTTCTGAGAAGCAGATAAGGACATTTTTCTCCCTCTGATCTCCCTCATACGTGTTCTTCATCTCTTCAGATACCTCTAACCTTTTTGGAAACAGTGGAGCCAAGACGTTTGGTGGCTTTGCCAGCTCATCATTTGGAGACCAGAAACCTGCTGGCACCTTTAGCTCTGGAGGAGGAAGTGTGGCCTCCCAAGGCTTTGGGTTTTCCACTCCAAGTAAAACAGGTACTCCTATGCCTGTTAGCTGTGGTTATTGTTAGATGCGTATTTAACATTGCACAGACCTCTGGAAGGAGAGCTCTCTGGGGTGTTCTCAGGGGAGAGTATGGAGTATGGATGAAGGGACCTTTTCCCCAAAATTCATTTTCTAATTATCGAGCATCTACTACGTTTCTGACGCTGTTCTAGGTCTCCTGAGACATGTTAAAAAGCACAGAATGCACAGCATGCAGCCCTGAAGAGAACTTCATGTTTTCTTAGGGAAGAAAGCATTGTGAATACTTAGTTGCATTTAACAACCAAAGTGAGGGAACATATAAGACCGTGATAACTGAAATAGAAACAAGAAAGCATCCTAAGTCAGATTTGCTTGGATGCCCATTACCTGTGATGGGCAAGACAGATTATTTATTTAATTTCTTATGTCTATATCATTTGTCCTCCTTCCCAAATCACTTTTTTTTGTACTTGTGAGTGTAACATACATAAATGTATTGATATTCCTGTACATATACAGTATCCACATATCATAACTCTGCAGCTCAATTAATTTTTGCAGTTGGAATATACCCATGTAGTCAGGAATAAAGAACGTTACAGTACTACTTTTTATCCCAGCATTACTTTTAAAGTATACATTTATAAACTGTGTGGCTTCTTACAATCATGTATTATTACACTTATAATTAAAAATTTTAAAGAACAATATATGTTTACCTGCAAAACCGTACTTCATCTCTGTCAGCTGCCCCTCTATCCTATTTCTGTCTCTGAGATCTACAGAGGGGATCTGTGCATACCTGCCCTTGTTGTGTGGAAGATTGTGTGAAAAGACTTTTTTAAGGCAGGGGGTCAAGGGGGAGGATATTTGCTGAGCAAGCAGTTCTTCAAAATAAAGCAAGTGCCCCGCAGGTGAGCGGGCAGGATACTTCTCCCTTGTGTGTATCTGAATTTATGGGGGGGGTTGCAGAGGAAGGACCCTACCCGAGGAGCAGATGCCTGGGTGGCTCTGACTGAGGAGCAGAACTGCCCCAAATTAGTACCTGGAATCCCACCTTTTAGAACCGAAATTGCTGAGGTTTCTGCACGCACTGTGCACCTTTACTCAGACCCGTGCCTGGGCTGGGTTAGTCTATGAGTGCTAGTTTTTTTAAACTCCTTCCTAGAATCTAAAATGGACTAGAAATGAGCATCACAGCTTTATTCTGCCGCCACCCTTCCCTGCAGTGAATGATTTAAAAATGAAAGTGCTACAAAGGTTTTGGTCCTGCTTGACAAGGCAAATATTATTTGACTAAGAAATTTTAGGTTATTAATCATCAAGACTTTTAAATTTACTTTTTCAGGAACCTGATCATGTTTTCTTCGATTCTTGTGTTTATCTTCTATGTTGTTCCTTATCCTGGGATCATGTCCCAGTTGATCTGAGAATTTGCCCCTTTTATTTTTGCAGTCTGAGAGAAAATGTGTCCTCCCACGTTTCAGAATATTTTTCCTATTTGATTACTTGCCCCATGAAACCACCTAGATTGAGGTCTCGAGGGATTTTTAGATTGATGGTTTGGTTGGGTCTCTGAAATCCCAAAAGTGCCCATCCTCCCTTGAGTACAGTTGCAGTAGAAAATAATACCACTGGAGATCATTTGAGGAGAGAACAGGAAGTGGGACAGACTGAAAATGACCTTCCTGCCACCCCCAGTCCACTGGGGTCACCCCACTGCTCTGTCAGTGGAGTTGCTGGATTTGGTGGTAGTGGCAGGGGGCAGCGTGGCATGTAGTGGTGAGGGGATGGGTAGTCTTGTGAGTCGCTCAGCCCTGTTCCAATCCCAGCTCTACTGCTCACCAGCTGGCTCAGCGTAGATGAGAGACATGTTCTCTGAGCCTCGGGGTCCTCACCTGTGAAGGAGGGAGTCCCAGGTTTGTTGGGAGGATTGAAACAAACTGGTGTACAGCACCTGGCACGTGGAGGGCCCTCAGTAAATCAGAAATCTTATTATCATTGAGTGCTACTAAATTTCTGTCTCTTCTGGAGGAGAAAAAATATAAGCATCTAATAAAATTGGAACCCCCCTAGCATCAGGAGTGAGTTGCCTGTCTCCAGAAATAAAGCCCAAGTGACCATTCTCTTCTGTTTCACATAGCTGTGACATGGATTCGTTGTTTGGGGGGCATTTTGTGTGTGTGTGTGTGTGTGTGTGTGCGCGCGCGCGCGTGCATGTGTGCGCTTAATCTCCTCCCCTTCCTGTCCAGTATACTTTCTGTATCATTGTGACTTCTCATTTTTCACTCACCTTCCACCAAGAACTCTGAACACTATTGAGTACAAGGCACTAGATAAAGGCCTGTGTGTCCAGGAAGAAAGTGTAACCAGATCTGTGATCAGTCTTAAATAATTCAACTGCAAGGGTTTTTTAGCACTTTTTTTTTTTTTCCAGTCTGTTATATTTGTAACCCAACAGTCTCCATTATCATGGCTTGGAATTTCACTCAAGGTTTTAAAATACAGAATGTAAACCCAAACGTGAGCCCGCACAGAAAGCACCTTCTCAGTTGTGCTTCTGCTGTTCATGGTAAATAAGCAAACGATTGAACCACAAAGTAGCAGCTAACTAAGGCGTTCAGCTGACAGCTTTTCGTGTCCAGCGGTTGATCTTCCCTGTTGCAGGTGGCCGAAGCTTGTGCTGTGATTACGCTCATAGTAAGAAGGCCTGAGTGATCCCTCTGTCAACGGGATTCACTTTCTGAAGGGACGAGAATGAGGTCCCCGTCTCCCTGGGCAAATCGCCTCCTGGCTCTGCCTGGGCCACCACTCCTCCCTTCAGCATGTAGCTCCTGGGCCGATGGTCACTGTAAGAAATGCTGCCCTTTAGAGCACACGTCCTGTACCGTTTTGCTCTGTTCTGCTCAATAGATACTCAGCAAGTGTCTCTGCTAATAGCCTAGAGTGATGTATGCAGTATCTTGGGGTTTGGGAACCCTCCCCAGGAGCAGAAGGAACAGTTAGGGAAGGACCTTCTGTTTTCCCGCCTGATGGGCATCCGGCAATCAGGGGAGGTGGCCTGGGCACGCCTGGCCCTTCCTGTGCGGTCACCTGCATGCGTGCCACCCCTGCAGGCCTGTGTCCACGTGAGTGAGAGCGCTGGGAGCCTGCCCAGGGGGTCGTGGACTCAGGGCTCTCCTCCCGGCTGATTGATTGCCTTATCACATTTATGCAGCAGCCTTCCTCCAGACAAGAAACGGCGTGCTTTTTTATTGAGGAGTAGTTCCTGACTGCAGAGAGAGCATTTTTTAAAAATTCTTCTGTACAGGGAGAGAAAGACTCCTGTGAGAGATGTGAGAGCTCTCAAGCTCTAAATAAGTAAAAAGCACCTGGCCGAGCGTCAGCCTCTCCATCTCCTCTGTAACCCGGCTCGCAGATTCTCCCTGAGAGGGGATTTGAGCCTCTAATTTTATAATTTGTGTTTCCATGAAGCGAGATGCCTTGCCTATGTGATGATAAGTAATAAACTCTGACCACTTTGACAGCTGGGTAGGGATCGGCGCTTTTGAGCGTGACTTTTCAGTGAGGAGTCTCAAAACATGGCAGAGGGTCTGGGCGGGGGTCTGCCGTGCGTGGGGTTGGTTCTTGGTGGCAGTCGGATCTCACGAGACTTGGAGCTGATGAGTCCAGCTTGCCTCTGGGAGGGCCAGGGAGCTCGCAGACAAACACGGAGTCTGCTGGACTCTTAGAACTCCAAGGAGCTCTCCTACATGGACCCCAGACCCCTCTGCTAGAAATGGAGGGGGTGGCGGGTTGGGTTGGGTTTGGGTTTGGGTTTGGGTTTGTTATTTTGCTGGTAGAAAGGGTGTTGCCCTTTGCTGTAGTGTTTTGAATCTGAGTTTCTAACGTACTTTCCCCTTTCTCCTCCCTCTTTTGATTTGGTTTCTCACTGCTCATTGTCTTCTCTTCCTGTCTCCTTTCTTTCTCCCTGTTTCTGTTTGTTTGCCTCTGTTTTGCTCAGGTGGCTTCGGTGCTGCTCCAGTGTTTGGCAGCCCTCCTACTTTTGGGGGATCCCCTGGGTTTGGAGGGGTGCCAGCATTCGGTTCAGCCCCAGCCTTTACAAGCCCTCTGGGCTCGACGGGAGGCAAAGTGTTCGGAGAGGGTACCGCGGCCGCCAGCGCGGGAGGATTCGGGTAAGCCCCCCATAGAGGCCTGGGCAAACCCACAGGCTCAGGTCAGCAGAAGCACTGGGGCCCAGTACTGCTGCTTTGAAAAGAAAGTTCTTGTTTCCCCTACTCTCGACTGAGCTGAAAGCCCCTCCCTTGAAATCAGCAAACCAGTCGCTCCAGGATTCCTGTTGTCTCCAGGGGAAGGTTCGTGTCTTCCAAGGCAGACTCTGTCCAGTACGTGGTGGACGTCCGCCGTGTTGCTGTCCCCTGATACGTGGCGTCGTGGCTGGCAGATCCCTGTTCTCCTGGTGGAGCTACAGGGTTGGTTAGAGGAAGAGAAACAGTCTCACCGTGGCTGCTTTACAGCCAGGATTGCCCCTTGTGTGGTGACTTCTGTTAGGAGACTCTGAATGAACAGTTTCTAATCACATTCTTTCCTCTTGGGATTGTTGTGCAGAAGGCCCATTGTCCTTGAGCAAACAACTCCTTGTGTCCCCTGCTCCGCTCCAGACCCCCAGAGTGGGTCTTCGGTGCACAGTCCCCTGGGCCAGCTTCCTTAGGCACTGCCTGGGCCCCGTGCGTGTTTCAGAGTCTCCACGACTGCTCAGCCTTCAAGGCGGCTCTCACTCCCTTGTGCATATCCTCACTTGAAAATGCCATATTAGAGATTTGCTTTTAAGGGCCCCAGAAATTTGTTCTGGTTACCAGAACCCCATGGAGAAAATAGCCTTCACCACACCACAAATTCCCAGTAAAATATATGTGGTGATGACTACAAAGTGTCTCCTTCAAAGGAGGTGTGGAGTCGGAGATTAACGTCTTACAGGCCTCTCGCTGTCCCTGTCCTCAGCACTGGCTCAGGATGTGTAAAGCTAGAGGGTTGGGGAGTGGAGCCAGGGGCTTGTTTGGGAGAGCTGTCAGGGTACATGGGATGAGGGTTGGCCAGGTGAAAGCATCTTTATCTTGAAAATAAACTCAAGTGGACTCCTTATTCATACCCTTTCCTCTCCATGAAAGATGCTGGTGCAGCAGTGCTGGCGAATTTCAAGGAAAGTGAGCAAGTTGATGTATTGCTTCTTAGATTTCATGCAGAGACCAATGCGTCTTTTAAGTTTCTCCCAGGAAGTCAGGAAACCCCAAGACTTAAAGTTAAGAAAAGCTTTTAAAGGAGAGTTGGGATCGACTTAAGCCAGTATCCTGGCAGGTTCTGACTGTTCTCGCCAGTGACCGCCCGGCACATAATGCTGCAAAGTTGGTGGAAGGTTCGTGGTTGACTAGGAATCTTGAGGTTTTTATTTATTTATTTGAAACCAGCTATTTTCTTCACTAGTAAAAAAAAAAAAGTATCAGATTCTGCCTTGGCTGGGGGCTCTCCCACATAAATCCTGACTGGCTGGTTCCATTTTTTCCAGCAGAGCTGAGTACCAGCTTTGGTTTGAAATCTCCGAAAGAGCCTGTCACCTTTTTTCAGGTCCCTGGCCAGGAAACTGTATCTGACCCCGACTGACATCTGAGGAGTTCCCACAGGCGTACACGAGAGACCCGAGGCAGGAGAGGGATTAGAGTAGGACCAGTGACCTGGAATTTCCAGACAGTGGAGGAGAACTCAAACACTGGGCAAGGGGGGATTTCATATGGCGTCCCTTTATTTTTCTTCCCGAAGCTGAGGTGAAGGTTGGCTCTGGGCTCTAGCCTGTTTGTTCTGAGAGGCAGCCACTTTTAACCAAGCAAGTTACCTCGAATCACGCGAGTCTCACTTCCTGAGACTCGGGAGGGGGGATGAGGCCGTCGGGCGGCAGAGCGACCGCGTGGCCACGCTTAACCGCAGCCTCATTTCTCGCCGGAACCCAGGTTTGGGAGCAGCAGCAACACCACGTCCTTCGGCACCCTCGCCAGTCAGAACGCCCCGACGTTCGGATCGCTGTCCCAACAGTCTTCTGCGTTCGGGGCCCAGAGCGCGGGATTCTCCGCCTTCGGGTCAGGCAGCGGAGGTAGGCAGCCAGACCTCTTCCCTCACCGTGGTCCCTCCTTTCGTCTCCTCAGTAAATGCCTGGACACCCCCGGCCCAAAAAAACAAGAATGAGTGGTTTTACCTGGCTGTTCAGTGTAGTATTTTAAAAGCCAAAAGTACTTGAAAGACAAAATGTTCTTTTTAGGTTTTAATTAGGTTTGTAACGCTGTGCTGTTTCTTGCCAAGTAAAGAAATGGCTGACCTGGTTTTTCTCTCAAGATTTGAGGACCCCCCAAAATAACCTTGATTTAAAAATCAGACTCAAAAAATAAGATATAGAAAAAAATAAAAATAAGACGTAGAGACTTTACAAAATGTCTTTCGTTTGTTTGACACTCCGCTTCTCCACATAGTACAGTGTGTGCATTCTGCTTTTATCCTTGCACCACACTTATTAGACACAGAAGTTAGGCATCGTTATTATTTTACAAATGACACAAAAACTCCAAGGAACCAGTTTGCCCAAAGGGCCAGACGGTGAGCAGCAGAGCCAGGCCTAGAACCCGCGTGTCTTGCTGCTCTGGCCTCAAGAAGGAGAGGAAGCAAGTGGATGGGAGAAGTAGAAAAAACATATTTTCCCGACGCAGTGGATCTGTGTGGCACGGTGCAGCAGTGAGAGGGTGCCTACCCAAGACCCTCTGCCAGTGCCCGCCAGGGAGGGGGGAAGAACCCTGAAATAAAAGACCACAGCACTTCCTGCCCGCCCGGACCTGCAGGCAGTGCAGGAGGAGGGAGACAAAGGGAGGGAAAGAATGCAGCCTAGAGACCACCTTTATCTTCCAAGTGTGTGGTGCTGTTTTTTTGGGGGTTTTTGTTTGTTTTTTTCTTTTGGCTGCGTTGGGTCTTTGGGTCTTTGTTGCTGCGTGGGCTTTCTCTAGTTGCGACGAGCAGGGGCTACTCTTTGTTGCGGTGCAGGGGCTTCTCACTGCGGTGGCTTCTCTTGTTGCAGAGCACAGGCTCTAGGCGTGTGGGCTTCAGTAGTTGCAGCATGCGGGCTTAGTAGTTGTGGCTCGAGGGCTCTAGAGCGCAGGCTCAGTAGTTGTGGCACACGGGCTTAGTTGCTCCGCGGCATGTGGGATCTCCCCGGACCAGGGCTCGAACCTGTGTCTCCTGCATTGGCAGGCAGATTCTTAGCCACTGCACCACGGGAAGTCCCGTGTGTGTGTGTGTGTGTGTTTTAACTGCACCCTTTTCCTCTTTTTCAGGATTTAGCTTTGGATCATCTAGCTCGTAAGTATCTATCTTCAGTTATTTTGAGTCATTAATGAACGATGAAAGAGTGTGTGGTATGTGAAAATACTAGTTTCTGCTCTGTTTGTACGTTTTGTGCCCATTTTTCCTGGTTTAAAAGCTTGTCCTAGCAGCATGGTGGTCTGGCAGCAGGCTTTGGGTTCTGTGGACTTGCTGATCTCGGGCATGTGGCAGGAGGTGTCCGGCTTGGCCTCTCCTCAAGGGCTGAGCCTGAGAGAGGAGATCGTGCCTTCTGATGAGCAAAGTCTGGAAGGCAGGACTCGAGAGATGCTTTTGCTTATTTTGCTGTTGGTGTCTCAGGAGCTTCCTGGGCTCCAAGCCGATTACCAAGTCTTATTTTTTTGATCCTCGCTCTGTGCTTCTGTGTAGAACTGCATGACATTAAAAATTCAGGGTCCGGAACTTTGAACACAGGGAGTGGCACAAGCCCCGAAGCCCTTCCTCAGAGCAGGAGCTGATCTGCCTCTCCCGGCGCTTCCTTGCAGGTCTGTCCAGGGCTTTGGTGGCTGGAGAAGCTGAGTGGGTGTCGGTGTTCCTTTCCGTTCCTGTGACCAACTGCGTTCTCAGCTCCCCTTCACTGAGAAACCCTGGAGCAGTCCTTTGAACTGGACGTTCTCATTGAAATACACACCCCGAAAGAAACAGCAGAAACCAAACTCCAGAGATGCCTGATTGCTTGTTTTGTTTTATATTTTGTGTTGGTTGTCCCCCCCCCACCCACGCTATTAAACTGTTCGGCCTGTTTCCATACAGAATGTATGTGGGCTTTTTCAGGTCACAGCCAAGGCGAGAGGTTTCCTCATTCCTCTGGGTCTGAGAAACCTGCACAGCCTGCCATCAGCCAGCAGCATGTGTCTTCAAAGACGGCTGCCAAAAGGATCCAGCATAGGTTACGGATAGGCAGGCGCTTCTCCCAGACAGTCTCCCCTGGTCTCCTCGGACTGGGGCCCTCCCCAGGGGGAAGAGGTTGAGTGCTGGCCAGCGCCTTTTTGAGGCCATAACTCGGTGTCTTTTCTTCACGTCCTTTTTGCTATTGAGTATGAGGCCCCTCAAGGTGCCAACTTCGTGATTGAGTAGAGGGAAGGAAACTCACTTATGCAGGCATTAGCTGAGTTTCGGAAGAGGTATTAACACCTCAGAGTACCCGTAGCTGTGAGGCAGGCGTGGAAAACCTGCCAGGGGGTGCTGGTGACAGGCGTGCTGCCCTTGGAACACCTCTGCTCATCCTCTGAGTTTGGCTCTTGGGCTCTGTGTGTCCCACGGCTAATTTCTTATACTCTGGCGGCGAGGTGGACAGTTGATTGAGAAACAGCTTTTATCTCCAGTAGGTGACGGTGACATTGGTGACCACTCCTTGCTCCTGTCTATGAACCGCAGTGCACATAACCCTTGGGTAGACCCGGGAGTTGAGAAGATGTTGCTACTGCCCGATGCCACCAGGCAAGTGTTGGCTAGGGTGGCCTAGAGGTCGTGACTTTGGTCTCATTAAAGTGCTTGTAATGCAGTGTTCTTAGGCCTGTGATGTCCTAGCCAGTTGCTGGCAAACAAGGACTGCCTTGCACCGAAGCGTAGGCATAAGAATTTGTTATCTTTCAGGCTCAGGATAGGACAGCGCTTTGGCTTGGGTCATCAGCAGGGGAGGGTTGGAAAGGGACAGTTATTTAGATTTTTATATATTGGAAAGTTGTATTTTGAAAGGTGTTAATAAAAGTTTTCCATGTGATTGAATTTGTCGCATTACAGCCAGTATGACCTGGCTGGTTCTGTTGGCTTGTTGGGAGGGTAGACCCCGGGGAGGTACCCTGGGCCACAGCCTGCCCTGCCGGTCCTCGCTCTGCTAGGGGCTCTGTGTAAAGTACAGACTCAGAAGCCCCAGTCTGGCAGGTTCTGATTCAGTAGGACTGAAATTGGTACTGGACGCCCTCCGGCTGAAGGCAGTAGTTTCTTACACTCATCAGAAGAGGAGTCTCCTAAGTGCGGCACGTTGGGTTTCAGGAATCCCAGACCGGAATTGGGCCCCTGGGTGACTTATCCTGTTTTCTGTGCAGTTTATGAGAGGAGAGTGAGAGTCTGTTCGTATGTTCCATTAATCAGGGCGTCTGCCTCCTTCAAAGAGCTTGGACTTCAGTCATTTAACGGGTACCCTTTTTGGTTTTTGTGGAACTGAAGAGCCCGTCTCCACCTGTTCTCATGTGAGGCCCCCCCAGCCACAGAGCCAGTCCCCAGACGTCCACATGGGGCTCATTCCTCCCACGTGTGCTCTCCCTAGTTCGTACACAGGGCCATCTTGAGACAAAGGAATTCGAGCGTTGATGGGAACAGCTCGCGGTGGAGGGCCTTGCTTTAAGGGAGCAACGTGACTAAATGGCAGGAGCTGACCTGCCTCCGCGTGTCCTCCTCCTGACCGGCACCCAGACAGAGCCATCTCCTGCGCTTGTGTTTCCCCCCAGAGGCTCTTTTTTATAAATAGAAGCTGGTTTGGCCTAAACCCTTGACCTCAAATTCTCTGTGTAATCCTCCATCGAGGTGGCATGTGACATCTCTCCCTAAGGCCGTATCAGCTGAGCTCGGCCAGATAACGCCCCGGCACTCACTGTGGGGCGCGGCGGCCACCAGGGAATGGATGGCTGGTGTGGGAGCCCCTCTGAGTTCCTTTTTTGGGGTCGATTTCGCTGGTGGGTGACAGGGGTCATCTCAGAGTGCAGCCAGCATGCGTCCCCTGAAACCCAAGCTCCCAGGATGCTGGGCAGGGAATGCACGGTGGCTCCAGCCTGCCCGGGGAGGAGACGGTGGGGCTGCGCCTTCCCCAAATAGGGGCAAACGGAGAGCAGCCGCGAGTGTGAGGGTCATGTCCCCGTGAGAAGGGACCGTGACCGCAGATGGGCCCGGGAGGGCGCCTGCTTAACCAAGCTGTGGCGCAGGAGGCCTCCACTTCAGTCTGAGATTCTGCCTCAGCAGAGCTGAGTTGGTCCCCTCAAGCTGTGTTTTCGATAAGCTTCACAGGTGATTCCCACGCAGATGGTCCATGGTCCACATTTAGAGAAACCTGTTAATGGCAATAACTATAAATATCTTCTTCCTGTGGAGCGTCTGAAAGAGACCCGCACTCCCACGGCTGTGTTGATTTTGCCGTGAGTCCAGGGTAAGGGATCTTTCTGAAACTGTTGATGAGGGGCACTGAGTTTAAGTTTCAGCTGCATTTTGGGCACCTGCTCAAAAAGGAAACACAAAAGCACAGGTGGGCTGTCAGCGCCTTCCTGTTCGGCAGCTTCTGAACGCCACCTCTGTGAGGTCTCCCCGATCAACGGGTGGGAGGAGGTCCCCTCCTTGACCTCATCCTGTCTCCCGACGCGACTCAGTCCCTCTGTCTCTGGTCACCACGTTGTGCTTCAGACAAAGTCCTGGAGGGCGAGGGGCAGGTGTCCTGCACCCTCCTGAGCTTGGCTCTGTCACCCTTTCCTTTTCTCTTCAGTTCCCACTCGGTTTCCTCACAGAGCGCCTGCCCAGTGCTCCCGGGCATCGGCCGGCTCTCCTGCTGCTTCTGGGTGTCACCTGCTGGGCGGAAAGCAGGGGCAGGTGTACCTCCCGGCCCCGGGCTTCCGGGATCAGTCTCTTCTTCCTCCTCCTACCCCGGTTCTCTGATTTGTCTGTTCCTTCATCACTCACAGGAGGAAAAAAAAGCAATTAGACTGAGATGGTTTTAGCCCCCAAACCTCCTCTGTCTTCAGAATGTTTCCTACGGAACGTTTGTATACTCAGCCAAAATAAGAATGGTCCCACGGTCAGATAAGTTGGGGAAAAGAATGAACAGAATGAAATGTAACACGTCTTTTTATCGGACTCTTTTGAGCCTTTAGTACGCACATTTGCTTTGTAAATCAGTAAGATGCAAGAGTCTGCCATTTCCCAAATACTTTTACCGTGGAACCTTTCTGCTGGAGCCAGCTTCCTTGAAACTCATCCTCGCTTCATCGTCAGTGTCGCTGGACAAAAGCATAGCTTATTTACTTCCTGCAGGTTGTGTTTCCAGTACACGTTCCTCTCTCTCGTATTCAGTGATAATAGTAGTGATAGTTCGTTGAATGATTACTGTCTGCATGTTTAACTTAACATCTTCCAGATGAGAGTGAGACCAAGAGAGTAAGCAGTTTGCTGAGTCCTAAGCCGGGCAGCGGTGGAGCCAGAAGGAACCGGGGCAGTGCCTGCTGCCCTGCCCCGCACCGCACCCGCCTGCCCTCGGCTGGGCCCTGGCCGTCCACCGCTGGCTCTCGTGACCGTCCTCCCCCAAGGTGGTCGTTCATTCTAGAGGCAGTACCTGCCCAGTTGTGCCAGGGGCACTGCCGAGCCCCTCACATGCCTGTCGTGTCTACCCCCACGGAAAGGAGCTGACATTGTGTGTGGACCACGGTAAACGCGCTGCCCGTTGTGTAGTCGGTTGCCGCCGTTCTGCTGCTCCAACTTGTGCGTGATCGCTCGACTGAACCAAAACCCCAGCGGGGCGGGACGGGGGCGGGGCTGAGTCTGTGGTGCCGGCGTTGGCGCACACCATGTACAGATGGGGGCTCGCGTCCGCTTCCGGAGGAGGAAGGCGATCAGACCCCGGATGAAGCAGCTGGCCCCACGCCCTCTGGCTGTCCAGGCCCCTCCTTCCTCCGCCGTTTCCTCCGGGCTCTGGCTTTGAGGCTTTCCAGAGTCCCACAGGCGGTCGGCCACAGACCCACCGAGGCGGCAGTTACTCCATTGTTCCGCCCCTCTCTGCTCATGAGTGGAGTCCCGTCCATTCCACAGCCCTGGCCAGAGATTCTCCACGTCGTTCGCGGCCCTAGCCCGCCAGCTGCAGAGAGTGAGTCAGTGTGGTGATGGGGGCGCGGGGCAGGCCCGGACCGCACGTCGCGGCAAGTCCAGCTCATCGCTCCTCCCGGCCTCCCTCCACCTCCGCTCCCGCTGGCCCAAGCGGGAATCAAAGAAGCCGGCATCTG